AACCTATCCAAAGCCTGGGCTGGTTGCAGCCAGGAGGCTGCAAGTATCTGCTCCGGGCTCTGGCATTAGCTCCACACCGGTGGATGCACACGTGCCTCGGAGTGGACGGTGGGGGAGCAGCCTGAGGCAGTGCAACCCTGGCCTCTTCCCTGCTGCTGGCACAGAGCTGATGAGTGGGCTCTGGAGCCCGGCACAGCTGTTTGTAGCCAGACTGGGCTCTGGGCAGCCGCAGCAGGCAGTGGGCAGGCTGCAAACAGCTGCGCCAGGCTCCACAGGCCCGGCATCAGCTCCATGCTCGCAGCGACTGCATGTGCACCTCAGAGTGGACAGCGGGAGGGCTGTGCTGCCTCGGGCCCTATCCCCACCGTCCACTCTGAGGCACACGTGCACCCACCGGTATGGAGCTGATGCTGGAGCAGCTGGCTGCAGCCTACTGGCTGCAGCCATCCCAGGCTCTGGTAGCTGCTGCCAACCATGGAGCCCAGACTGCTTTCAGCAGGGCTTGCAGCTGAGCTTACCTGACTCCCACCCACCCCAGCCCAGCCCCCCTGAGAATGAGGATGGCGCTGGCCTCTTGCCAGGAGCACTGCACCTTTTACGAGCTTAGCTGTGCAGGGTGGGTGGGTGATTGGACTGATGGGCAGGCTCCAGACCGGGACCTCAGCCAGCTGCGCTGCAACCCAGGGACTGGCTTCCCAGGGAAGCACAAGGGCTCTGGCAGGACCAGAGCATTGTTGGGTCAGACTTTATCCAGTGGCCCAGGAGCCTGGCTCCATGCACCCGCACATCTGGTTCTGTGTGTTTGTCTGCCTCTGTCTGGTTCTGTGTGTCTGTGTGCACACATGGCTGGTTCTGGCTGTTTGTGTGCATGTGTCTGTTCTGGGTGTGTTCTGGTTCTCTGTGTTTGTGCATGTGGTTCTCTGTGTGCGTGTGCCTGGTTCTCTCTCTGCTCTTCTTTTTCTTTCTCTTTCTGTCTCTCTCCTCTTTCTCTTGTCTCTTTTTTCCCCTCTTTGTCATTGCAACATGCTCAACAAAAAAGGAATATGCAAGAAAAAAGGCAACATTTATGATCATTAAATATACTACTAATATGCAGTGTATCCTGCCATGTAATCCCCTGCCCCTTTTGTTTTTCTGGCATGCCGGCACTCTGGCACCTTCCGAGGTACACATTGTAGCTTTTTTGGTACTCCGGCCAAAAAACGTTGCCTACCCCTAGTCTAGTCCCTTTGCACAGGGTGAATTGCACCCTTAGTTACCATTATTTTGAAGTGTAGGCCAGGGGTTCTCAATCCCCAGGCCGCGGCCCAGTGCTGGGCCATGGCAGGTCAGCTGCTGGTCCTCAGCACGGTCAGCTGCCAGACTGGAAGTGGCCATGGACTGGCAAACCAGAGCCAAACCAGAGAGAGGCCACGGCTTCTTTCGCAGGGCCCGCAGCAGTGCAGGGGCTGGCCCACCCCCTGCCCAAGGGTGGGGAGGAGAATATCCTTACCTGTCTTCTGCCCAGAAATTCCAGCTGTGTAGTCAGCTGTGACTGCTGGGCCGCAGTTTGCTGGGCCACAGCACAAAAACCCCTGGTATAGGCTATTATAATCCAATAATTGAAATTACAGAATCATAATTGCCAAAGAAGGTGGGATAGCTTCAGTCAGTAATTATGAAGTAAAAGAAAGCAACTCTACTGTTTATTTCTTCGAAGAGGAATATTTAAATGGCTTTATTGAGTTCTCACTGTGTGTGTGTGTGTGTGTGTGTGTGTGTGTGTGTGTGTGTGTGTGTGTGTGTGTGTGTACAGTTTTAATAATTTAAATGTAATGTTGAAAATACAGCCTTTATAGGACTTTCAAGTTAATTGTGACCTGGTAATGTATCATTTTACTAAAAACTCTCCAGGTGTGTTTAAAAGATCAGTGACGATTGTAGTGATGTTACATTAAAGATGAGACTACATCTCTTTAATGAATGCTCTCTTCTTTTTTTATATAAATAGAAAGCTGGAGGCTCCCAGTGGAATGGGGTTTGCAACTGTGTTCTTACTCTTGAGCACAGAATCTTAATGTAAATAACAAACAGTTAAGTCCAGTGTCAAATCATATCTAGGCAACTACACATTTGATGCTAGCAACACTTTGTCTTCATAACTGCTCAGATTTGAATACAAATAATATATAATGACTTTTTAAGAGCTTTAGGGCCCCTCTGCATGCTACATTTAAGCCAGGATTCGCATGTTAATGTTAGCATGAATGGCAGAGGTGCTACACATGCACCCAATTGAAGGCATCTTAAAATGGCAAACCAGCCATTAAAATGTTCCATGTATAATGTAGCAGGGTTTTTTTTTTCTTTTTTTAAATAGCTGGTTTGTACAGTGCCTCAAGTTTAATTTGTGGCATATCTGGGGTTGCCCCAGGGCCAGTACTGACAGTCAGCAAATTGTTCACACTGGTGCCCAGGGTAGCCCTGGTTCTCCAGCTGGGCCCAGGGCTGTTTTGAGCCTCCCAGCAAGGGAACCAAAGGGTTCCCCTGCTGAGGAGTTTAATCCTGATGGGGATGGAGCTTTCCTTGCTAGGAGTCTCTCATGCCCTGCATCCAGCAGTCCTACTATAGCTGACAGGCATGGGGTTTTAACTCCCTTGATGGAAGGCCCATGAATGGACCTGGCCTTGGATCATTCCAGGATCTTGAACTGACCCTGGTACTTGTCCTGAGACAGGGACTGACAATCAACTGATTACTGGCCCTGGTCCTGATGAACAGGAGGGCTCTCCCTGCACTGGTAAGTAACGTGCAGCTAGAACCTGATCCCAAAAATCATGCCTCCCACTATGCCTGTGGCATGTTAGAAGACATGATTGTTAGGATCAGAAGTCAGATCCCATGGTATTTTTAATTAATATGAAGCAGCTAAATATCATTCCCCAATTTTACAAATGCAGAAAGAGAATAAAGAGGTAAAGTGACTTGCCAAAGACTAAAAATTGGGGATTAAAAATGCGGTTTCTGTGCTATAACTTCTTTAGGTTGTATTGCATTGGCAGTATTTCATCAGTGAAAGATCTTTAAAGTATAAATACTTTCTAGCATAGGCAAATGGTAGGGGGTGCACGTGCCCCCCCCAACAGGGCCGGTGCCCCCCCGCCAGCTGACACTGATTCTGTAGGTAGGGCTGGTGCCCCCCCTGGCAGGG